GTCAAAGAGGGGTTATGAGAGGGGAATTTTTACACCAAATTTGGTGATAAACTTCCCGGGGGGCTACTTCGGGCTAGACGCCAACTATGGCTAGTTTCTTGGCAACGCATAACTTTTGAACTCGTCCTCCGTAGAGGTCGGGCGGTCAGCTAAACGCCGGTGCATCAGATACCGACGTGCATCCGATTTATGCCCGGTTGCCTAGGAGTCAAGGCTCCGGCAAGCTGGACGACGAGCTCACGGACCCGAGGCTGTTTGGCGGTGAAACATGAGAGCCTCCGTCTTGCTTGGACGAGCCTCATCGTGAGAGTGTCATGCACCTTATGGGCTTTTTCTGTTGTGGCCCAGACTTGCCGCGCGCCCTTGAGAACAGCCGTGAGGCTTGAGCTGAGAAGCCACTTCCACGTGGCCGCCGAGATGGCCCCCATCCATCAACTCTCAGGCTTCGCGCTTCCAGTCGCGGTCGGGGTGGAGACGGTGAAAGTAGCGGTACCTCGACCCTTGAATTACTGTGCCGACGTTCTAGCCGGGCGGGGCTCTGCGCGCAACGACCACCGCTAGAAATTGAGTGGCGCCTGCATGCACGTCTTGATCATGCAGTAGATTTCACGCTAAATCTTGGGTTCCCTGCAGTTTCGAGCAATACAGCCAACTAGGAGGGTGACGGTGACGTAAATGCACCGGCCCGGCCGTGAGCTCCAAAGTCCAAACTCGCAGACAGAGTTTGATCAGTAATTCGTTACAAGTGTTACAGTATAACGACAGGAGGTTCCTCCTGTAGAGATGGCGCTGAGGAATCAAGTCATGCTCAGCCACATGCTTGCCATTCCTACGGTATTGCCACAGTAGTCGCGCAATTAGGGCCAACTACGTGCCTGGACTTATCGTAGCGAGGGGCCCCTACGTACTAGTAGAACAGATAGACCACTTTGGCACTTGCGCACGCCGGGTCTTATTAAACAGTAAAATACGTATTCCAACCTGCGCTGAGAGCGTGAGACTGCCGTCTTTTATTATGAAAGCACGCGACTGGTTGATGGAAGAGCGGGTAATCAATTAACCCCTTTGGTTGTTGCTGCCAAAGACAACCTGTGATTGGATGGCCTTTGATCGTCACTGCAGCCGTACCACCTACAGGTAAGCCTGACTGAGCTGGAGCAACAGTGTGCATGTGATCGCAAATCTCACTACGATGAAGAAATGACTGCAGTTTTGTTTCTTCATGAAGATGTTGACCAAATTCGTGATCCGCGCAGATGTGAGTGGCGCCTGCCTCGCGCGTGGGATACGCCGCGTCGCCGTGCGAGTGTGACAGACCCGGGCGGCGCCCGTCTGTCCTAGTGGAGTTGACGGGGACCGATGATTATTACGTAGTAGACGCAGTGTTGGAGAAACCGTCGGCACTCAACTCTCCACTTGAGGCTCTCGAGGCCCCGTAAAAGCACTATCCCGCTGCGTGCCTGGTTCTTCAAGCTTGTTTGGTGGATTATCAACTGCACACATTATTACATAGTCGAACACTGTGCTGGTGGAGAGTCTTGTGTCTTTCGAGATGCGACAGAGCATGTCTGATCAGCAGCAAATTGAGAAGAGCGCAAGAGACTGGTATTACTTTGGCAGCGATTAGCCGAGGTAATGAATGTACGTGCGTACGTACCTCCAGCCACATTACGTGCGTTCAGCCGGCTTGCCCAAAGCAGTAAGCCGGCCGAGCGGCTACACGGAAGCGCGTGTATTCGCACACCGTTTTCCGCAACTTTGCTGCATCAACAACAAATAAATTGAAGGGATGAGACATTCGACGATCTGGCCCAACTCTGCGCACGGCCCTCCAAAAGGGAGATAGAGTTTATTCAAGTTCCCATGGTCAGAAACCAACACAAATTGACTTTGATTTAGGCAAGGAAAGTGAAGGTGGGCGAGAAGAGGGGTGCGTCGAACTGTCATTCGTAAGCTATGACATAAACCACCAACAAAACGCAATCCAAGTTCATCCAACTGCTGTCGCCGCCGATCATGGCAGCTGCGCAGTGAGCCAAGGTTTCGCTACATGCACCGTTTCAATTTGTCCGCTTGCGTGGTGTCCCGTTATTATCGGCAACGACTGAGCAGACTGATTGCAGATATCAAAAATCACCTGGTCATGATTCGCAGGTATCCTGAGTCGTGTTCATCAGTGCGTAGAATTGTAGTCCGGGCTCTGATGATCGTCGTCGAGTCAAGTCGTGCCTTCGGTGTTCGGACAATGCCCGACAGGTCACGGTACGGTACGGTTACAGTTTGCGAGATTGGCCGAAAGCCAATTGATGGCTTTCAGGCGCCAGCTAGCCGTTTCTTGGCGACGGCCATATGGGATATTATGATGCGATCATACACTCCGTACCAATGAGCCCAGAACTTTGTTGTTGACGATGCTGACTACGTGAGTACGGGCCAGGGGGATTGTTGAAGACTGGAGCTGAGCTTCAAGTTGTTTATTATGTGGAATGGTGCCCGTGCCCCCCTCAGCGACCCTGAGCCCTCTTCTCCAAGAACAGCGGACCTCTCCCTGGCATCATTGCTGCGGTGCCTAGCTTTGCTTGAACAGATTGATAGCATCGATGAGGGGAACATCTGGATTTCGACTGTGTTACCTGTCAAAATAATTGCCCCTTGTCTGGTGGGCTCGCATTACCCACTGTTATCCATTCATTAAACTACATACTACGCATACAATTGATAGTTGATGGGCGGTACGCTCCGTATAGATGGACGACATATTACTATGTACTAGTAGTAGTAAATCAGGCGCTCGTGGTGTTAGGTGCAAAACCGCACAAGCAGCGCGTTTGACACGTAATCGTGATCAAAGGCTTGTATGAGCTCATAAAATACAAAAGCATAATGCATTTTACCTAGTGGCATCTCTAATTGTCAGGAGGATCTAGGCCTGCTCATTATTGCGCATCTAACACGAGCGTCTTGGCTGCGCCTTGCCCATTGCCACCATAATGTTCCAGAGCATCTTGATGTCAAGAAAACTCACAACTCTCGAAGACTCGAGAAGGTGAAAGGGGAAACGAACATAGAGAGTAATGCTAGGGAAATTCATGCCTCGCATTCCCAAAGCCATGCATGTCCTGAATCTAAGAACTTTTGATTTGTAATTATGTACAGGTTCGTCCATGCAGCGGAAGCACATCTCGCGGGAACGACAGAATGATTACCAAAAAACACGAACATGCCCTGACGCACTGAACAATGCGCGCGTAGAAACTCCAACAAATTGGTAAATACTACGGTTGTACTATCAACGACTGGAATGTACAGTCTCTGATGAGCGGGTGATTTGGGAAAACATGGGTGGGGCCTCAGCGGAAACATGTAAACGAGGAACGCGTCGGCGGGACGAGCGATGTTTGACTCAGGGCACGCTCAAGGCACGGATCAGGCGACTCATCAATCACAGCACTGAACGTTCATGTTGGAACTTACGGTTCATTGGAGTACGTACCGGTACATGTCTTTTGGAGGGCGGCCCCATCCCTGTCAGCAATGGCGCGACAGGGGTGGTGCTGCGCAACTAACATCCTGGGCGGCGCGACGTTTCCTCTTTCGGGCATTACTGTTGATGCAATGCAGCTGTAGTACGTGGTGACAAACTGGTGATGGTACGTGCCGGTATTGTTGCTGCGGAAGATTCGATAATGATGATTGCACACGGGATTTCAAGAAGCCGCGATCATAATATCATTTGTAGGCCAGATTCATTGTAAGACATCGGTTCATGAAAACCGCGCCCCGATCGGGACTGGACTGGAGCTCTTGGTGATCGTCCAGTGACGTCGAACGCTGCCCTGCATGAACGTAGTGGGTGTGCCAGCGACTGGAGATGACGGTTGCAGAGCGCTGAACAGGCGTCGATTAGCACCCTGGGATGACGGCTACAGGCAACTGGAGGACCTGAGCACCTGGTTTTTGTCAGCCAGCTATTTGGCCAAGCCCTGCACTACGTTCCGACCTTTATCCCTCTTCACTACAAGCCCCCCCGTTCTTTCTTCCCACGCTTGCTCGCCCGTCTCTCTCACCTTACTTCTCCCTCACCTTGCCGTCAGAGTAGGGAATCATCCAGGTCTCGAAGCCTCACTTCTGTGTCATTTCACCTACCTACAGTTTTGCAATTGTTACTCTACGCCGCTTCGCGACTAGCATCGCACGTACTCCGTACCTGTCGCCAAATTTGAGGACCACACTGTCGGGACCCATCAGAAGTCCGTGGTTTTTGTGGCCCTTGAGCGCACCAGAGGCCCACTTGTCTCCAACAAAGCGCGCCGCAGAGATTCAAAGTGGGACACACCGTCAGAGTTTCTCTCCCAAAACGTCGCAAGTGTCTCCAATCACTCTTCCCGTTCGCGCTGCCATCGTGTTGCGATCAATCGCGCCTTGAACCAACGTCGTGAGAGCGAGCGCCTTTAATTCTCTCTCGGATACGTGCCGGCAACGCAGCAGACTGAGCTGCCACCACACACTCACTTGCACACCACCCACACCCCTCGTCGGCCCAATCTGATCGCTCAGAGGTGTCAACGCCCCGAATCGTGGTTGCAAGCACCCCCTCCGACTTCGTCGAGGCACTGATTTTTTTTTCCTCCCCTCGAATCTGCTGCGTGCCTGCCCGCTTCGGTCAGAAGAAATAAAAAGCTTCGAGACCCATTTCTCCACCTCAAAGTCTCCCCTCTACTACCACCCACCACCTACCTACTTTGTGAAAGAGGGCCCTCCCTAGGACCACCGCAAACTGCCACGAGCACGAGCCTCAAACACCGCGTTGGGACATTTGCATCCACATCGCGAAAGTCTACTGACGACGCTACAACTTGCGTCCTTCGCGATACTTTCGTCGCGTCCACGCTTGCTTCACGCTTTGCGCGCGCACACCTCCATCTCCCTCCCCACATTGACGAGGCCACCACGCGCGCTTTGCCATCAAAGCACACACGCGTCTCGTGTGAGCATCACCTATGGAAAGCTCTCATTACGCGCAACCCAACTCGTCCGCGCCCCCTCAGACATACCCATCTCCCACGGCCGTGTCGCCTCATCATCTTCAATCCGCTTCTCCTCTTCCCCAGACGCTGCCTCCGTTGCAGCCCTCCGCGTCTAACATGCAGCTATACGGAAGCAACCCGCATACGCCGCGGACCCCTGGCACCCCGAACACGCCAAACTCGAACCATGCCAATCTGCCTAGCTACCAGCAGCAGACGTCGCAACCAGGAGCGAGCCGTGGCATGTACTCGATGCCGCCCCAGCAGCACAACCAGTACCAGCCGCAGCCTGGCTACCCAACGTCGGGCGGTATGATGCCCCAGGCGACCACCACCTCCGCGGGGCCTCAGCCCATTGCACCTGCTCCTCCTGGTGGCAACCGCGGTCCTCCTGTCCTGAGACCTATGCCCCCGGGTGGCATCATGTCGCAGCAGCCCGGCGCGCCTTCGCCGTACGGGCCTGGTGGCCAGATGATGCAGCAGCATCAGCAGCAGCCCATGGTGCCCGAAGGCGAACAGCCCACGCACGTTGTCGGCTCTCAGGGTCGTAGAGGTATCCTGCCCAGTGCCCCTGGCCGTCCTGCTGCACCGGCCGCTGGTACTGGAGCCAAAAGCACGGTCATCCCTGTCAAGGATGCCGATGGCAAATTCCCATGCCCCCACTGTACCAAGACGTACCTGCACGCAAAGCACTTGAAGCGCCATCTTCTCCGACGTAAGTCTCAATGTAGCGCCTCTGCATACAGACAATTGACAATCTACAGACACCGGCGACCGTCCTTACATGTGTGTACTCTGCCGGGACACCTTCTCTCGGAGTGACATCCTCAAGCGTCACTTCCAGAAGTGCTCCATTCGCCGCGGCAACCCTACGGGCGTCAGCCATCTTTCGCACCCCCAGGCGCACGTCAAGAAGCATGCTCAGCGCGCCGCTGCCGGTCAAGAGGGTGATCTTAATCAGCTCAACGGCCTTAACAACATGCCTCAAGAGAACATGGGTCAGCACCCCTTCGGCATGGTGCCCGTCCAGGACGGCATGAGCAACATGGGCTCCGACCAGAACCACATGTCTCGCTCCAGCAGCATTGGCCGACTTGACAACTCTAACGGAGATCGCAGGGCCATGCCGCCCGGTCCTCCCCCGATGGGTGGTTCGCAGCCCTACGGCAGCAACGAGGTGCAAAACTCGATGAATGGCCAGCCCATGTCCAGCTACAGCATGCCTCCTGGTCAAAACGGTATGCCCACCGGTCAGAATGGGATGCCGATGTATGGAAGCTCGAACCCGAATCAACAGTCTGGCCTTGACTGGTCGCAGATGTTTCAGGCTGGTACGTGTTCTCAATATCTGCCCTAGACTACACACTCTAACTCTGGTAGACGCAGACCGCAACCAGAACCGATCCTGATTCTAGCGAGCCGTGCCCGATCGATGCCAAGCTTCTGCAGCCAAGCACGGATCTTTGTGTGTCAAAAGCTGTTCGACTGTATTCTAAGACTTCCACCTTTCTCGAAGGCCTTTTCGAACTCTTCCCGTCGCCTTGGGGCCAAATACCAACAACTTGTTTGATTCGCTAAAGCGCCGCGTCTCTTCTAGAGGCATAGCCTCCTCTCCTGAAGACAGCGGAGTGCAACACGAGTCACTTAGATGTGGCGCGTGGCTACCCACATTCGACGAGGAAGGCACGTGAAATCTGGCATCTACGTGGAACTGGACCGACAACCTTTTGGCAAAGCAAAGAAATGACTGCTTGAGGCGGCAAGCGAGCCAATGGATTCTTTGGTCTGACCAACTTTGAGCCAAAATATTGGCAACATTGGCATGGTATCGATCGGCGCAGTGTTTGACTAGAGGGATGGCCTCTGGATGTCGTCCTTGGAGGCGTCATGAGGAGACGAATTGCATGCAAAAGGCGTTGCGCTATGTTGCGTTGTGTATTTTTTTTTTTTGGTCATTTACCCCTGTTCTCTGTTACTTGTGGACCTTGTTGGCTTTGCCAGTCTGTCTCTTCCTTGCCGCTGCTGCAGGGCTCAGTCAGATCTCGACATGGCACTTGGACCACAAGTTGTTTTCAGTATCTTCTGCATTGATGGGGCGGGCTCGGCGGTGGTCTTCTCAATTTCCTGCAATGCATTCTCGGCAAATAAACCAAGGGTCGGAGTTGCGAGGGTTGCATTACTACTAGACTTCACACATTCACGATAGACAAGGAATTCTGTCACTCACGGACGTGGCTTGGCAGTGGTTTACGATGAGCTGTATATATCCTGTGCAGGAACGAACAGTCTCGCCAGGATGATGATAGACCGGTAGTGCAACCCATGCATGGTGTGTGGAAGGAGTTGTACACCGGCAGAGGCTAGGCAAAATCTTCAGAGTGCATCATAGACTTGAATCATACATAACAAAAGTTGACCTTTCAATGTCGGATGCTGGAGCCTTTGTTATCTCATGACTTCTCATCGGTGTCGATACCGCGGTCGACTGCGGTCAAACGCGGCTTGAGTTTCTCCAGATTCTCCTTGTCCTGTTCAGTCGGCGTGAAGCCAAACACCTCCTCCGCACGATCAGATAAGTAGGGCCCGGCACAACCCCAGGCTATGATGGTGAGGCCGACACCGAAGCGGGCTTTGGGCGAGAGATTCCTGTATGCTCTTGGTGATAGCGTAAGCTAGGGACAGTACATCTGCTGGGCTGAGGCTTACTTGAACATTGCGTATGGGAGTCGGCGTCGTTGTTCTCGGTGGAGTGTTGTGCAGCCTGTCACATGGTCGTCCTTGAGATTTGGAGACGGATCGTCAGGCGGCAGTATCCTGTCGGATGTGGTCCACGGTGATTGAGTGAGGTGAAGAATTGAATCGGACCAAACCAAACCCCTTGGCTGATGGTCTGTCGTCTTGATGAGCTCCACACTATGTGCTCTGATTGGTCCATCGACTAATACCAGGCCAGGTGAGGTGCCTTCAAGTCTAAATGACCTACACATACATGTATGCAACGCCAACGTCCATTACTATTGATGGTATCTGGTGTTGATATTTTCATGATCGGCAGGCTTGAATTGGAAGAGGGCCGGGGTTTTCGCGTGAATGAGTGAGGTAGATGGGGCACATGAGGCGTAGTCCCTTCGCGCCAGGTCGGTGCATCGTTGCCTTCCCGCCGATGGACGAGCATTCATCAACAGGCCCTTGATATGGCTTTTTGTTTGGCGATGGGTAGATTGAAGATCTGTTCTTGCGCTCATTGAGCCAGCGGCAATCGCGCAAAGGACGTCGTCGGGGCCTGCAAAGCAGTTGAGACAGGAGAGTGAGACATGTATACGTCGGGCACCTTCAGATGTAACAAACCAGATCTTCCAGTGACAGCTGCTGATTAACATTTCATGGGGGTTTTGAGACACCATATGGACATCTGATCATGTGCTCAGTCATTTCCACATGCATGCATGCAGCGTCATGACTGGAATGCAGTCTTCCAGCACTTGTCGTGGCCAACATCTTATTGCGGCGAGGTTGACGAGCGGCATGCTACACCTGAAAAAAAGTTGAACAAAGTGCAATGACGCGCCTGCATGTACCCCTCGTCCATTACTACTCGTCCAGAGTAAATGAAAAGGGTTTCCAATTGTGGCGGATCGCGATGTGTGAACATTTCGGGACACGTGAGGTATGGGAAACTGGCTGACGTGAAAAGTCTAATTGGCGTAGCGGCGGTTCGGTCGAGTCATGGCCGAATAGGGTCAATCGTAACTCGTATGTACCATCCTGTGCTCCGGTCGCCTCCAGGCCCCTTGGCTGGGTTCAGCATGTACTTCGTGTCGAGATGCAGCAGCGGGGCGCACTCTGTAGAAGGACATCGCCCTGTCAATGAGTAGAAGACCCGGCCGGAGTGGGCGGCAGAGCGGGAGAAGTTTGGCCGCAAGGTGTGGCCACCACATTGCTGGGCCTGAATCATGGCCTTGCAAGTGTGTGAACGACAGCTCAGAGCAGCAGGGACGCTGGGTCCGAACTCCATGTCCTCGACTCCTTGAGAGGCTCCATGTCCTGGCCAAGGCCGCGCCCAGTTCTGCAAGGTCCTGTACGGTACGGGGACGGGGACGGGTGGGAAAAGTGGTTTCCCCTTGCTTCTGAAGTGCCGCCTGCGGCAGTGGCACGGAAGTGTGGTACTGTGTGTAAGTTTGTATTAGCCAGAGAAGAAACGTGCTTGTTCCAAACGGTCAGGATGACCGATGAGCGATCGGGGACCCTTGGAGGGGCGAGAAGGCATTCCAAACGAGTTCATCCTTGCGGCGCTTTGGGATCGGCTTGATGTGACACGTTGCTGTGCGCGAATCTCACGATGACTTGTAGCATGTTGCCAACATGGCAAGCAATTGGGGAATTCGATGATGTGCACAGGGGCAGCGACTGGAGTCGATGAATAAAGTCCGCAAAGCTTCGCGGCTTCGGTTGAGCCTCCGGGGCGGGCCCCTGTAAGTGCCTTCTGAATGAGCGCTGGAAGCCTGGCGTTAACCAACTTCACCCTGACGTACAACGGAACACCTAGTCACGGTCAACGACGAGCAAACAAAGCTTGTCACGCCTCGATGGACTTTGGCGACCAGTGATGGGAAGTCTGGTTACTTGTCCGCCTGCAGGTACTGTGATATTTAGCAAGATCGTGCGCACCAACAACAAGTCCCATTCAGACTAGACCATCTCAGACCAACCAGGGTTTATCGGACCTGTCTTTATTTACCACCTCAAGTCCAGCCTTGCTGGAGTCTGGACAAACTGTGACCTGGCAGATTCGACTGACAGCGGTACAGCACGGACTAACGAGGAATAAAGTAAGGCGAGGTACCTGGCGGACCTGAGGCTAGGCTGTTGTTGGACCCTAGTCCCGACCCGAACCCAACCCAAACGCACCCATCACCTCCCTGCGTCTGACTCCTCCACGCCCATTCCAACCTATATTCGTCCTGCCATCCCCTTCCGGCTCTCCTCTCTGTCGTGTCCGCCCAATTCGAAGACGACAACGACGGAGAGGCATCCTCGAATGCCGGGCCTTTCTCTCGAGCACGATGCAGCGCGTCTCTGCCTTCTTGCCCTCATGGGACAGGCGCACCTCCAACAACACGGCCTCGAGTGCGCAGTCGAACTCGGCCACGAAAGACCCCAACAACGCCAGCGCCAGCTCGCTTGGCCAGCACAAGACCGCCGCGAGCTCCAGTGGCTTCTTTGGGTGGTCGAATCGATCAAGTACCAGCAGCGCAAGGGCCAGCAGCTTGTTCAACGGCCTCTCCAAGATCAATGTGCAGAATGCGAACCAGAGGAACAGCAACACTGGCAGCGTCGCCAATGTCCGCGTGCAGCGAGAAGCCTTTTGGCCAGCTACGCTCGACGCCGAGTGCGACAAGGCGGCTAGGATTATCAAATCGTTTTGTGGTAAGGATCTATCTTTTGCGACGGCGCCTTTTGTGCACCTGCGACTCGTGCGAATCGGGACTGATCATGATGTCTAACAGCGGATGGATACCTCGCGACCCTCAACGAAACTACATCGGACGCTTCCACGACCGAACCAAGTACGCCCGTCAAAGTACCGAAGAAGATCCCGAAACGAATCATTCAAAATGCTGCCGGCATCGCCGTCTTCACTTGTATGAGGAGTGGATTGTGGATGACAGGCTCCGGTGGCTCCGGCATCCTCATCGCGCGCAAGTCTGACGGCACATGGTCACCACCGACGGGCATTATGCTTCACACGCCAACACTGAGCTTTATCATCGGCGTTGACGTGTACGATTGCGTTCTTGTCGTGAACAGCCTTGCCGCCCTGGAGTCGATGACCCAATCGCGGGTTGTGCTGGGGGAGGATGTTGGACTCACCGCTGGCCCTCTGGTGCCGCTGGACAAGCCCGGGACGGACCTGGAGATTGATCTCAAGAGCCTGGGCAATACTGTCCTGACGTATATGAAAGCACGAGGTCAGGAGCAGAGGGTCAACATGAGCGGCTGCATTCTTACCGAGCGCACCAACGAGAACGAGCGATTCTACGGTTGCAACGCCTCGCAGATGGACATTCTATCGGGCAGCATAGCACGCCATGTCGAGGAGACAAGGCCTCTATCCGAGGTTATCAAACTCGCCGAGGGCAGGTCGGACTTTGATCCTGCGCTCATTGCCAAGCTGATGGTCGACCCTGCGCCAGGGGATGCGAACATTGCCTCCCCCAACTCGACACCCCAGTCTCCTCGCCCTGCGCAGGCTTTTGGTGTGCCACAGGTGGATGACCCCGATCCGTTTGGTGTGCTGGCTCTGGAGATGGCCGGCATGGAGATCCGTGAAGCGGGAAGTCGTCTGCGTCCGACCAGCAGTCAACTCAACTTCCAAACCCGCCCCATGAGCGCTGCGTCTTCCAGGACCAACTTTCGCCAGAGCAGCCAGACCTTCAAGTCCAACACCCAGCGCGAGAGCTACATGTCGTCGCGCACCATCCGGAGCCAGGTCACCGACGCGCACACGCAGACTGACGTCAACAGCACGCCGGACACCAGCCCGAGCCCAGGACGCAGCGAGCAAGATAGAGGTCGAAGTCCGACTCAAAGGATTCGGTCCAAGATCGAGGACAAGCACGACGAAGCGCAAGAGCCGGCAGAGGTGGACTACACCACCGTTGATGAGACCCCTCTCAAGCACTTGAGTAGCCCACCGGCCCACACAGACGACGAGCCATCCTGGGAAGGAGTCGCTACGCCCGAAAAAGAGAAGGATGGCTCAAATCTTCGCGTCCCACAGAATGACAAGGATGTTGATCGTCGGTCGAAAGGCTCCAGTCATTATGGTGAGGAGCAAGATCTTCCTGCCGGCTCGGATGCCGAAGACCTGTCTGACGAAGACGTTGACTCCAGTGACGAAGAGGAGCCCGTCGTGTTCGAAGTTGCGGCTGTACAGCCGGCGCGCACACAAGCCGTCGCGTCTCGCGTCGTCCATGCAAGAGGCAACATGGTCAACATCCCCAAACGGATACCGCCTCCATTGCCGGTCAGAAATCCAGCTCGAGCCTCCATGCAAAGTCGGAGCGACTTGGGAACCGACTCAGCTAGTTTGCGGAGCCCTCTTCGCCATCAGTTCAGTGGCTCGGATCTCAGCGCCGACAACGACGTGGAATCTATTGACAAGAAGCGGGCACCGATGCAGACCCAGAACGAGTCTGTCGCCTCACGGCTACAGACGCCGCCTCCCGAGGATTGTGAACCCATCACACCCCGGGTTAAGGACACCGAGCATGCGTTGCCCCTTGTTGAGACTTTGCAACCTGACTCAGGCGTCGAGCAAGCTGAGGAGGCAGCGAAGCCTATTGTCGAGGACTCGAAAGCATCCCAGAAGGCCGACGTTGCCGTTGAAAGCAATGATCAAGACCAGCCTCAGTCGTCGTCCAGGGAGATCACAGACGACCAAAATAAGGACGCAACAGTGACACAGAACACTCCCCAAGAGGAATCGGCTGAGGATATCGAATCTGGCCACACTGTGCCATCCGCTTCTCCTGAGCTACCCTCGAACAACGAGGAGGAGGTTTCGGAGGCTGTTGTCACAATCACCCCTCCCGCCAGCGCACCGAAGGGCGATGGTGATGAGAAGAAGGATCGTTCGTCCATCGACACGGGCGTTTCTGATTCACACTCCAGCTTCGAGGATGGTGTCTACACCACTCCACCTACTTCTGAGCACAAGTTTCCCCTGGATGATGATCAAGACGAGACACCACGAAAGACCACAGCGCAGACAGAAGATGTTGCAGTTGCCTATGGGAACGAGGTCAAGGAGGACGACAGGCCTGCCAGCGCTGAGACTACCAAACCAGTCGAAGAGCAGGCCGAAGCGAAGACGGAGATACCCGCTGCTGCACCAACGTCGACTTCATGAACGATGTATGAGTTACGTTACGACCGACTATTACTAGGCGTATTTCTCGCCCCGATACTCTGGGATCCAACTTGGGGGCGCATTTGCTGCTTACAGGCACCACAATCACGATGAAAAAAAATTCACATTGTCATGTACAAAGGGAATCGGCGTTTATGTTTATCGGGAGCTAGCGCCCGGCATGTTGGGACATTAGGTATCATGGCGTTTTTGGGTGCGCATATAGAATCGCCCCCCCTCCAACAAGGGAGGAAAGGGTTTGATGACGGGGGTTTATGTTGGAATGGCAAAGACCGAGCATAGCTGCGAGTTCAGTGTGGAGAGTTACACATGAACCGCAGGCCTCTAATGAGCTGTATAAAGATCAACGAGATTTCAACAAGATAATATCGAAATCTAATACTGCTGTCTGTGCTGGAGTGGTTGAGCATGGTGGTCACGTGTCGAGTGAAGCCGGTGACCGTACTGTCGCTCAGCCACACTGAGCGCCACATGCAGCCCAGCCGCCCGCAACCAGCGCCGCTGGTTAGCACGCGCAAAGAATCGAACAGCAGCCTCGCGACGAGCGACGACGCGACAGCTTGGTCGGAACCGCGCCGGCAATCACGCAACGTAGAATCTTTGACGCAACCTCCAACCCCCACGCATTGACGATTGCGTCGAGAGCATCAACCAGGAGCCTGCCAAGATGTCGTCCGCCGGCAAATGGCGCGAGGAGCAGGTCCTCATCATCTGCCCTGGCAGCCAGACGACCATGGCCCAGATGGGCTGCAGCGAATTGACACCGCCAGCGCATCGATTCCCGACGAGAATGTTTCGCGATGGGGATGCGTGGCGGCCGTATCATACCTATATGCGCAAAAAGACAGTTGCGGGGGTTGAGACGGAGGAATGGGTAGAGGACGTGGATTCAGACGAGGGCGCGACGTATCCGTTGCAAGGTAGGTTGCCCGCGCGCAGGCACTGATGGCCTATGGCCAGGGGCAAGCATGCTGACCGAAGCGATAGCTGGCCGGATTATCAACATGGAGGCTTTCCTCGCGTTCCTCGACCACGTGCACAGCATGCTCACGACGACGTACCACAACACGCCCATCATGCTGATGGCCTCACCGCAATGGACACGGCCGGACTGCGAGGCGATTGCGCAATACATCTTTGAAAAGACGCGGACGCCAGCTCTATGCCTGATCCACAGCGCCGTCGCCACGCAGTATGGACTCAAGTTTCCCAGCATGACCGTCATCGACATTGGATACGAAAAGGTCGACGTGTCAGCAATCTACGAGGGCCGCGTTGTTCACCACGTCGATATTGGCAGCGGCCTGTCGGGCCAGAGGGCAGTCAGCGGCGGGGAGGTCTTCACGCGCCGACTGGAAGCGCTGCTGAAGGGCCAGGGCTTCAACAAGGACATGGCGGAGCAACTGAAGAGGAGTGCAATCTGCGAGGTGCTGCCGTACGCGAGCGGAGAGGAGGCGTTGGCTGAGCTGCCGACCGAGGACACGCGTGGCGTGGGCGCGGCGGGCGATGCCCCTGTCGAAGAACTGGCGCCGCCGCCCAAGCCCGCTGAGAACGGCGAGGCGGGCGCCGAAGGCGAAAAGGAGGCCGACGACGATGGTGTTCTCGACGTCGCGAGCATCGTTACGAGCGGGCAGACCAAGGAATTCCTCGCTAAGAAGGAGAAGGAAAAGGGCAAGCCTGGGCGCAAGCCCAAGGAGGTAGAGACGACGGCGCAGAAGGCCGCCCGGTTATCGAACAAGGAGAAAACCCACAACACATTCGTCTTTGAAGAGGTCGTTCAGGAGGAGGTCAAGCCACAGCCAAAGGTCGCATCAGACGCCGCGCCTGCTGCCCCAGCCCCTGCTGCCCCTGCCACTGCGGATACAACAGCATCAGAGAACAAACCTGCAGAGCCGGCAAGCGCTGACGGCGCCGAGCCGAAACCCGAGTCGCAAGCTGATGTCTCTGGCGAAGCTTCGGACGACAAGCCAGCCGCAGCGCAGCCAGAAGCCGAGCCCGCGACTCAACCACCTGCCGAGCCCAAGGCGGAGGAAGTCCCAAGTGAGCCCGAACTCCGCGTCAAGCGTGTGAAGCGCGACATTGAAGTTGGCCTCGAGCGGTTCACGTTTGCCAGCCGCGAAGAGATCGACCGGATCGTGCAGACCATCTACAGGGCGATCCAAGGAATCGAGGATCAGTACATGCGCCCCGCTTGCTGGGAGAATCTCGTGTTTGTGGGCAACGGGGCCCGTCTCCGGGGGCTGCGCGACAACATTCTCCAGACGCTCAACGCGCGCCACCTCGTCTCGCCCTCCACGGCGACCATGTTCACGTCCGAACTGCCGTCCAACGTGGCCACCCCGACCGGCACGGGGGCGCAGACACCCACCGGATCCTTCACGGGCACGCCGCACCAGCTCGGGCCCAACGGGGTGAGCAGCAGCAGCGGCGTGAACCCGCTCCTCCAAGCCGCGACGACGGCCAACACGCTCGGCGTTGCCGGCGGTGCCAGCGCTCCTACGACGGTGGCCACCCCGCAGGGCCCTGGCTCCGAGGCCGGGGCCGCCACGCACGTCGTGTCGCAGCACTTTCACAGCCAGACGCCCACGGCCATCAAGACGGTCAGCCTGCCCACGTACCTTCAAGAGTGGACGCGGAACGGTTTCGAAGAGAGCATGTTCCTCGGCGCACAGGTAGCGGCGAGGATTGTGTTCTGCGTGCATTCCAATATGGATGCCCAGAGTATCGAGGCGCAGCGCATGGCGAGCCTGAGCCGCGTAGACTACAAGTAAGTTTGGCCGTACATTAACCTAGAAGGCGCATGGGGCTGACTGTGTTTTAGTGAATATGGCCCCAAGGCTGTGCGAACGCACTCGTTGCTGGGATGAGCGTGGACCGACTGCACGAGCTGACTTGACCTTTTTCTTTACAGGAGTTTATGGAAAAGGAGGGAGGGATGGAGGGCGCTGCTACATACGTAGTGACTCGCACGGCTTGGGGAACAAGTCGGGAGAAGCAGGCGAGTTTTTGATAGATACCAATGATGAAACAACGACCCATCAAATGGTTTGCCCGCTATGCTTGTGCAGTATGGCCGTGTTTTTATGCTCTATATACCATTCTAAAAGATACTCAATAAAGGTGGTTCCTCTGCAGGAAACAATGCGGTAGATGGACATGAGAAAAATGCCAGTTATGCTTACAGCGCCAAAAACCAACCGTGTACTTGTTCAGTCGTAAATCAAACGTAAGGACGTGCCTTACTTAGCCAGCGTTGTTTCTGACTTCCGCTTCTGCCGCGGCCGCATCCCAACTCGTGAGGTATAAGTATAGATATTCAATCAAGGAAACCCTGCAGGCAAAGTCAGCAACGTGTCATGCATAGAGTGTGCTGTCAGACAGCCTTTGACTTACGCAACCAGCCCTATAGAGACGCCAACCCAGAGGCCCTCTAGCCTCCAATCAAGACCAAACGCCAGACCCAAGGAAATCGGCAGACTGATGCCGTAGTACGCGATGAGATTGGCAGGACCGCCGATGGCCTGCTTGCCGATGCCACGGAGCAGACCGTGAGCACCAGCAGAGAGACCATCGACGACCTGCATGAAAGCAACAACAGGAAGGACGCGCGCACAGAGGTCAACGACCTCGGCGTCGGATGTGAAAAGGAGAGGGAGCTTGTAGCGAAGCAGGTAGAAGACGGTAAAGTTGAAGAGTCCAATGAGGACAAGAGCCCAGACAGCCTGCCGGTCAGTATTAGTCAAGACTTTGTACAAGGAAGCAACATGGGAAGACCTACCACTTTGCCAGCTGTCTTGGCAGAGTCGACCATGCCGGCACCGATCAGGTTGGCGATGCGAGTCGACGCGGCAATCGACACGGGGAAGGGGAGCTGGTAGGCAATCGTGCCGAGCGTGGCGACGGCACTCTGGGCCGCAAGATACTCGGACCCAAAGCGACTGGCGAGCAGGGTCATGATCTCAAAGGCCATCCACTCAGCCTCGACCATGACCATGCCGGGCAGCGCCAGGCGGACCATAACCCACCAGTTCTGGAGCGCGCGGCGGGTGAAGCCGCCCCAGCACTGACGGCCGTCGACGAAGCGCACCCACAGGAAGAGCAGCAGCGGCAAGACGTTCTCGACAATGGCGACGGAGATGGGCGCCCCGATGAAGCCCATGTCCAGCTTCCAGACAAACAGCCAGAGCAGCAGGACGTTGAGCGGGGCGGCGATCATGGCCACGTGGGTGGTGGCGCGGAACAGGCCCTGGGCCTGGGTGAAGCGCTTCCCGCACTCAAAGAGGATGATGCCCGGGATGGCGGCGATCATGACTTTGAGGTACAGGCCGGCCAGGCGCGCGGACTCGGGCTCGGGGATGAGCTTCATGAGGATCTCGGTCGAGAAGGTCCAGAGGAGGGCGACGGGGAGCATGAGGGTGAAGAGGAAGCAGGCCATGCGCTGGCACTGCAGGCCGACGAGGTGCTTGTGGCCGGAGCCGTAGGCCTGCGCGCAGAGCGTGTCGAGGGACGTGGCGAGGCCCTGGAAGGGGGCCAGGCAGGAGATGGCCACGGTCATGTTGGCCACCGAGACGGCGCCGAGCTCCGCCTTGCCGAGACGCCCGACGGCGAAGATGCTGGCCACGTTGATCGAGTACTGCAAGAAGAAGGTGATGGTCAACGGGGCCGAGTACTCGGCCAGCGTCTTGGTCTCGCGCTGCCACGTCGTCTTGAGCTTGCCCGAGGCGACGGCGGCCTCCCACGCATAGTCCAGGGCGTTGTCGTCGGTCGAGGGGGTCGGTGCCCCGAGCAGAGGGTCGGTCTCACGGGATCGTGCGGGCACGGACACGGGTGCCTCCTCGTCCACGGGGAGCTTGGTGCTGAAGAGGTGGCGGTACATGCGGGCCACGGGGTTCTGGGACTGGGGCTGGTTTCGGTGCTTGGGCGGGAGGACGTGGTTGTCTCGCAGGATGCTGCGCTCCGCTTCGCGCGAGATCTTCTGCTCGATCGCCGTCAGGGGCGGCGCTGGCTCCTCCTGTATGTTGAGGACGGGCCGCGAGCCGCCGTATGCCACGCCGCTGGCGCGCCTGTACATGAAGTGGTGCTGAGCATCGTGGTGCTCCGAGTCGAGGAAGTCGTCATCCTCGTCACCGTCGTCGTCAATGGCGGAGCCGTCTTGCTCGTCTGACTCGGAGGAGCAGTTGGCGAGATCGGCGGCCAGATACTGTTCGGCGAGGGGGGAGGAGGCGCGGAAGGACGAGGAGAGGATGTGGCGGTTGGCATTGCTGCCGGAGGAGCCTGTGCGATCTCGGCCCATGGCAGCTGGGCTGGGAGGTGGGTGACCTGAGGAAGTTGAGGACTGTAGGTGTAGATGTTGAAGCCTCGATCGGAGAGAGATAGAGCTTCGCGGCCCACGTTGCCTTTGGTCGCCGTCGGTTTTGAGTTCAGACCCGGCGCGGGCGTGTTGTGACTCGGCTCTGCGATCAATGTCTCAGAGATCCAGAGAATCGATGAGACAGTCGCAGGCAGACTGACTGATGATCTGATGACTGACTGACTGATTGATCTGGTCGGCTAGGTATTGTGCGAAGGAGCTTCACCACAACGAACGCCGGCATTCATCCACGAGTTGTGCGGGCGATGTGAAGCAGAGGAGGCGACAGAGAATGACGATGAATGAAAACTTGACTTGATCAGTCGCACGCACCGCGCACGCCGCCGCCGCCGCCGCCGGCCCCTCCTCCCGCATTTCTTCCTCGCCGGCCCTCCATCAGCGGCGGCGACGTGCCCGCTGTTGGTCGCTCCCCCACCGTCCATGGAAAAGAAGCGTGCCGACTGGCGCGAGGATGGGCATCTCGCAGATTCCCATATACGTCCTAACCTTAATCAGTAGGTCAGCCATCAAGTCGGGCGCGCCCTGCGCATTGTCCATGGCGCCCTGACTAACACTCTATCTAGTCAACACGTTCACCGGCCAATTCTACTCAATTCCTCCATTGCATTCCCTCGACTGTCTTTCCTCGTGTCTTGTGCAGCATGCACCATGCGCGCGGGCGGTAGATGCCAGAAAGTGATGATGCGTACAGTCCATCGCCCTGGTCTGGGAGGAAATTAACCCAACCACATCTGTCCCAGCCGATCGGGCTCTGCGTAGCCCATGGTCGCAACCCACGGTGTCTCGTCGTCGCCATAGGCCTGCAGAGGCATGTCGTACGGCACTCGCACGCCGATCTTCGTGCCACCGGCAGTTGTTGTGCTTGGCTCACAGCTGTCGGGCGTGTCTTTCTGGTGACAGGGCACCATGGTAATACTACTACTGCCTTGCTGTTCCACGAGATCGGGCCACACGAGTACGCCAACTTCCCACGAAGAGATCCGCGCGATCCCATTCCTCTCAGCATCGCCCCATGCCTGCTTCGATAGGTTCGCCGACGTGAGGAGCGCCCAGTCAATCGCCCCTTGCGCGTTGTATCTGATATACGTCTTGATATGAGGTGCAGCTCGCGCCCGCCCGCCCTTGCGCTGAGGCACGTTTGCCGGCAATGCTGCGGCAGTCAGTAAATCTGTGCCACAGAACAAGCAAAGCAGTGTACAGGTAGCTAGCTAGCTTACCTTTTCCGTTCGCCGAATCATTCCCCCAGTGGCAGAAGATGGGCCGCAAGTACTGCAATTGCTTTGCCTGCTGCGGCGACTGTATCTTGGTATGGATCGAGCCGCCAGAAGCATACCCATCCAGCGAATCACGAATTTCGTCAGCGGTAGGGAACACGACCCTGAAGCGAGGCCTGGCCACACCGGCCGTGGCCGTTTTACTGAGAGATTCAAACAGCGTCTTTTGCAGCCAGTCGTCTTTCCCACCAAGCGTGGCTATGGAGGATATCTGGACGACGATTTCGGATGGTCCATCCACGGCACTGATGTTGCGCAGGTTCCTTCGCAGTGCAGCCCAGCCCCACGACGTGTGATCCGTATCGTGGACATTATGCTGCCCAGGCACGCTGGCAATAAACGCAGCCCTGATGGCTGAAAAGTCGTGCTTGCACAGCCGATCGACCAGCTCATTGCAAACCTTCCGACGTTGATTGTATGCGCGCAAGTAGTGCATCAGATCTGCCTTGAAGCGCTCTCCACTGCCGAGCGGATGATTATCCGTGCACTCGGGTTGCAACTGGGTTGGCTGCGATGCAAAAGGCAGTGAGGGCGACCTCCACACGGCGTTTGTCATGTTCGTCCAGTCTTTAGGGATCATATTGGCTGTGTGGATGATGACTTGAGCCGTCTCGTCATGCCGGAACAGGATCATCATCTTCGAGTGGTGTGTGCCAAACATCTCGGGCATGTATGCGGTGTGGAGGTGAACATTGGGGCGTTTTTCAGCACTCTCCTAGCTTCATGTCAGTGACGGGAAATGATGCCTTTGCCAGACGAGATGTACGCACTACCAGTCGCAGGCGGTTGGGATCCTCCTGCTTCCAGAAACCGTGAACCACATGCACATTGACCAGATGTCGTATGTCGGGATCAAAGGCGTCCATCAGAAAGTCAATGTCGTGTAAGAAGTTGAACTCCCAGCAGTGAGAGATTAGCGGATCACCCAGGAGGTCCTTCAAGGTGACTGCATCACGATTCAGGTCCTCGGGCAGGTCGCGGATCCAAGTGAGTTGCCAAGGTGAAGCACGGGTGGCACTCTCAGCCCCTCTGATGGCTTCTGGAGCCCTCTCATCTCGCTTCGTTCCATCCTCGCTTGCCTCTGATGTTGTCGTTGCCTCTGAAGCAGCGCGCTGCCTCTTGCCTGGCGGACTGATAGGCCTCGACAAGCTGCTCAGGTTTTCGTTCTCGCTGCCGGTACCGTCATCGCGTCCACGCTTCAATGTGCGATCCATAGCCTATCGCGGTTCGTCGCTACCATGTTGAGCGATGGGATTGTGATCTTGAGGAAATAGAGTAGGTTGGGGGGGGTGTAGGCGTCGTTTGTATGGTGAATCCTCTCTCGCTCGTCCTCGGATTGAAAGGAAGTCATGGAATATGTGTTGTTCGTGAGAGGCAGGAGCTGGGCAAGAAGTGAAGAGTGAAGATGAGCAAGTTTTTGTTAGTGTTTCGGCGGGAGGCTGCCTGTACGCACTAACAGACATGCACCCTGCGTCTTGGGGGATCCACCCGCTTCTAATCAGTTGCCTATTTGGCCATCGATGCCACGCCACGCAATGCCATGCCATCCCCATACAGCCTGTGGTGGCATCCGCGACGATCCAGGATCCGTGTCCTATTCCATTGAAACCCCGTCTCGGCCAAACTCCAGACTCACTGCGTGCCGCCCGTCATCTTCTTTGCTTCCAGTCCTTCCTTCTCCTCGCTTTCGCTGGTCGGGCGCGCCTTGGCAGACATATCGATACTCCCATCATAGTGCGGCCAGGATCTTAGACTTTCGTCCACGCGAGCTACTGCGACAGCGCTACCGATCCTCCATCTGCTTGGCGTCCGTTCCAATTGATTATCGATAACTCGAGGACCCTTTGCCCCTTGCGCCTGCTCCAAGGCCTCTTGTGCCCAGTGCGCGTTCACGACCCAAACGCGACGTCGCGAACACTACAGAGCTTCCCCTGCGCGACCGAGAGCACGACGGTGCCAAGACCACACAATGAGGTTCTCACCTCTCGCCATACTCACGGCCGCCGCCGCGCTGGCAAAGGGGCAGAGTCTGGATCCAGAGGCCATCAATGCGAAGAAGGCCACCGTATTCAACGACATCAAGGTGCCCCCGCTGATGGACCTCACGCCATCCAACTTCGACGATGAGATCAAGAAGACAAAGTACATGCTGGTCAAGCACTATAGGTACGGGTCTCTGAGATGACAGCACCGGGCGCGTCGCTAACCATCTGCCTGTCCAGTCCGTACTGCCCTCATTGCATCGATTACGCCCCCACGTTCCAGACGCTGTACGAGTTTTACTACACATCCCTCTCCGATGGCGACGGCGACGCGAGCTTCCTCGAATACTACGACTTCCGGTTCGGCATGATTAACTGTGTCGCCTATTACGATCTCTGCGTCAAAAACGGGGTGCAGACCTACCCCATGACCAGCCTCTTCGAGGACGGCGTGGACGTCGAGGACCTGAGGGGTGTCAAGTCTATGGATGAGCTCGGTGTCCTCATGGAGACCGTGCTCGAGAAACAGCGCCCAGGGTCGCGGCCAAGCTCGATCCAGCTGCCCAAAGCTGGCAAACATTATCCTCCAGGCAAAACGGACGAGACTACGGCCGAGTCGACCGAGAAAGCCGACGCGGAATCGGCCGCTGGGGCTGAAGCTGGATCTGAGAAAGCAGAGGAAAAGGTCGACACCAAGAAGCATAGTGACAAGGAGCCTCAGGATGCTGACAAGACGGACAAGTCCGCCGGCGACGCCACTAGCGCCCCTGACGCCAAGTGGAAGTCACCCACTCCGGCCGAGGTATTCAACAACAGGAGGCCGAAGGAGCCTACGACCACGCCCAACCCGAACGGGGTCTCGATCTCGCTCTCGGCAGAGAGCTTCCCGCAACTTGTCACAAAGACACAGGACCCTTGGTTCATCAAGTTCTACGCTCCATGGTGCCCCCACTGCCAAGCCATGGGCCCAACCTGGGATCAGCTGTCCAAGTCGATGCAGGGCAAGCTGAACGTGGGTGAGGTGAACTGTGACAAGGAGCCCCGTTTGTGTAAGGAGGCTAATGCCCGTTCGTACCCTACGATCCTGTTCTTCAAGGGTGGTGAGCGCGCCGAATACCACGGCCTACGAGGCTTGGGTGACTTCATCTCGTACGCTGAAAGTGCCCTCGACCTGGCCAGCGGCGTCCCCGACGTGACGGCCGCCGAGTTCGAGGCGCTCGAAGAAAAGGAAGACGTCATCTTCACCTACTTTTACGACCACGCCACCACGACGGAGGACTTTACCGCCCTGGAGAGCCTGCCCCTGAGCCTCATTGGGCACGCCAAGCTTGTCAAGACCAACGACCCCAAACTCGCCGAGAGATTCAAGGTGACGACCTGGCCGCGTCTGTTGGTGTCCCGCGACGGCCGCCCGACATATTACGAGCCCATCACCCCTGATGCCATGCGGGACGTCCATGGGCTCATGGACTGGATGAGCTCCGTGTGGCTGCCTCTTGTGCCTGAACTGACCGCGGCCAACGCGAAGCAGATTATGGACGACAAGATTGTGGTCCTCGCAATTCTGAACCGCGACGATACTACCGGCTTCCCGACCGCGCTCAAGGAGATCAAGACCGCCGCCAACGAGTGGATGGATCGTCAAATCTCCGAGTTCCAGCTGGAGCGCAAGAAGCTGCGTGACGCCAAGCAGATGCGCATCGAGGAGGCCGCCGACCGTGGCGATGAACGTGCGCTTCGTAACGCCAAGCTCATCCGCATCGACATGAACGAGCACGCCAAGAAGGAGGTGGGCTTCGCCTGGGTCGACGGTGTCTTTTGGCAGCGCTGGATCCGCACCACCTACGGCATCGACGTGAAGGATGGCGAGCGCGTCATCATCAACGACCAAGACGTACGCTTCTCCTCCCTCGTCCCCTACCGACTCACGAGTAGTAGTACTGACCCCTTGTCGCAGAGCCGCCAGTATTGGGACCAGACCGCCACGGGCAACTACATCATGGTCAGCCGGACCGCCATCTCCGAGTCGCTCGACAAGATCGTCTACGGGCCCAACACCATCAAGGCCAAGCTGACGGCGTCGCTGATTGAAAATTTCTTCCTCGACATTCGTAGGGGGTTTGTCAGGCACCCGTACCTGAGCGTCGGCTCGGTCGTGGGACTGCTGCTGGCGGCGTGGATGTGGCTCCGCGGCCGGGTCAGGCGATCCAAGGGCCACTTTAGACTGGACGAGCCGGTGCATGGTCTGAAGGATGGGCTGGGTCTCGGCTTGATAGGGCAGCATGGGGTCAGCGAGAAGACGGACTGAAACTGGGGCGATTGATTCCCATGGGAGCTGCCAACCGGATCGACTAGAGGCGTTGGGGGCGTATTGACTTGAACGGGTGTCTGCTTGCTTTGTATATCCAAGTTGGAGGAGCGTCACCAGTGCACACTGTAAAGACTCTGTGCAAAATAAAAACTGATTCCGTACTCGCTCTCTCTTTTAAAAGTCCCTCACGTATAGATCTCCTGGGTCAGGCTGTTCAGCTCTAGGCCCTCCTTGGCAATGTCGTCCACATCCACCAGAAATTCCAGCGGCATCTGGACCAGCGTCCCCCTGATCCGACTCAGCCACGCCTTCAGCTCAACAATTCCGCCTGGAAACTCGTCCTTGATGACGTGGCCATACTCAACCTTGCCGCCTTCCTCGTCGCCAGACCCGGCCTTGTCCACGCCCGGAATGATAAAATGCCGGCTGAAGAACTCCTTGTAGTCCTTCCAGGTGCGCACATGGTCGTTCGGCACGGGATGAAACGCCTTGCTGAATGTCTCGGTGTTGACCCTGGCGGTGCCGTCCCACAGCTGGTGGAAATCAGGATGCATGGGGTCCTGGACGAGGTAGTCGGACGGAGAGCCCCAGTCGTAGTCATTGGGAGCTCGATTAACGGGACGCCAGTTCTGGTTGGGTTCGTCCCAGCGCTGGTCGGGGAGGAGACCCAGGTGTTTCCTGAAGATGTATCTGCGCAGGGACGCGGCGAACTGGGAGGCTGTGTAGGGCGCGCCGTTCATCCTGGACTCGACAGGGGCCGGGTCCTCGATGACCACGGCGATCTCCGAGTCGTGGGTGCCGAGCTGGGAGCGGTCGTTGAGGTTGGCGGAGCCGCAGATGACGAGGCGGTCGTCGGCGATGAGGAGCTTGCTGTGCACGTAGAGTTCTTCGCTCACGTACGCGTCCATCTCCGCTTCGGGATCTGGACCGTCCCAACCGACGTCGGACAGGCGGGCGCCATCCATGTAGCAGGAGCTGACAGTGTCACGGGTGTGGTCTGCGACGAGGGCGGCTCCCTTCTGGTACTGCCTGTACTGGTCGTAATGGCCCTCTCCATCTCTTCCCTCGCCGTGGGAACCATCTCCAACTTGCTCGTCATGACCCTTGCGGGCTTCCTCATACGACACGCCGGCCTCTCGCTCCGCGTCTTCCATGGTCTGCGAGGTGTTGATGCGGTCGTAGTTTCGAAGATTGTAGAAACCAATGTACTGGCTGGGGTCCTCCACGCCTTCGTTGCGCAGGGTCTCAAGGATGCTGTGGCCTCCGCGGCTGATGGAGAAGTACTGGAACTCCATGATGGCCCGTGTGCCGAGGGCGCCGTCTGAGTGCAGATCGCCGGCGAACGCAGGGACCGCTGGCATGACCACCCATATCTTGAAGGCCTCGCCAGCACGGTGCGCGCAGAGGATGCGGTCGACCATGACGGCGCCAAGCTTGTTGACTACGGGGTACTGTTTCTTGCTGGTAGCGGTGATGAAGAACTGCACGTTCGTCAGGCTTTGTGTACAAAGGGGGGGTTCATGTTACTTGCCTGGTTCTCAATGTACACGTAGTGCTTTGCATTGGATATCGCATCGACGTAGGCATTGGCGATGGAGTGCTCAGTAGGATGGCCAGAAGACCATTTGGTAGCGCTTGTTCATGTGTTAGCCTGAATCATAGTACTTCCTTGCGTACAAGCTGCTCTACCTTCTCGTGAGTTGCATCTTCGTCCTCTCAGGTCCATCGTTACGAGGCACATTGTCGTTGCCATCCTGCCCGCCGAAATGCATGAACTTGTTCATGCCTCGACTGAAGCGATTTGTGAGATCTTCCAGGACATTGTCCGCGTCGTCTGTATTCTGTTCGCCAGACGTCGACAGACCATCGGCCTGTAAGCGCGTGTACTTGTCTCCATCCTTGTTTTTGTACTTTTCCCCCCAGATGTAGTTCCTAAGCTCGAAATCAGCGCCGGATCCTCTCTAGGCTAGAGAGCAAATTCGATTACCATCGGTCCACAAAGTGTATAATCATACTGTCGACAATCGGCCCTTGCATGCTCAGGGCCACGTCAGACCAGCCCATGCGTGAGCTCTTGGTTCGGTCCACTGAGTGAATTAGCACCAGAATAGGGTGTGTATGAAGGGGAGGTGCTTGCGTTTGTTCTGGTTCCAATTGCCGACATCGTGAAAATCATACACTCGAGCATTGTTGTAGTCTTGGCCTGGGAAGATAATGGCGTCCAGGTTGCTAGGATGTGCGTCTGCAATGGGATGACCTGCGCGTCGTTCTTCAGCAAAGCATCATATGCGGCTCTCTGGTGTTGAAACCTACTGCTTGTATCCCAACGACCGAAGCCTAGCATCTCAGTCAGTTTCTGCTGTCAAAATCGTGCTGGCTGCATGTGCTCGACTCACACATATCAAGACCACCCATGAACCCGAGCTTGCGATCAACAACAAGCAGCTTCTCATGGTGCGCCCAGAACAGCACCATACCGTCGGCAGTACCATAGATTGCCTCCACAGCACTGCCCGATGCTTTTGCCAAGTCAAAGTTGGTTAGGTGATCTAATACATCGCCCAACTCAGACGCCAGGTCGTACCCAGTAGGTGTATGGTCCGGGTGCCTAAAGACACCAATGTTGGGATGCAGGGCCTCGAGCGCCTTACGGGTGTGCTGCCGCTGGTCAATATCGCTACCTAGCTGAACCTTTCATGGCTTGAGGATCTCACATTTGAGTCGCATGTCAAGGCCGCTTGGACCTCTTTGTACACGATGATATGCACCTTGACACCCCTCTCGGCTGCAGCCTTGAGCATGTTGTCCACGCGGTACTGCTCATTCTGAGACGGTGGCCGACGGAGGTAGAGTTCTGGGCTCAGCCACCAGTCCAAGATGAGGATCTCTTCTTTCGCCTCTGCCGTCAAATGTCAGAGAATGAGAAGAGTTGAGTTGGAAGGGATGGCAGAGACAACACTCACGCTCTAGAGCCTCTGAGACTGCCCAGAAATACGAGCACCCGTCCACATACCACTTGGCGTCGCCACTGGATTCCGGTGCAAACGAGTGGTATCGATTCGCCCTGTGTTCTTCCGAGTGCAAATCATCGCAGGCATGCCCTATGTGGGCGTGGGAGTGTTTCTCGTCGCCAAGCATAGCTTCGATGCCGCCTTGGACCTTTTTGAAGATGGAGGCCATGCTGGCGAGACCGGCGCGCTGGCTCTGTAAGGTGTAGTTCTGCGTCGGCAATGATTCACTGACGGTGTGACCCGTGTGCTTCGTCTGTTCGTGTTTGTCTTGGGCGGATCACGAGGCTTGTGAGAGGGAAGAAACCAGCGAAAGGTCGAGCTGATGTTGAGACGCCAAGACATGAGTGCGCCTGTCAGCCCAACACAGCGAAGCTCAGCAAAGAAAGCTGAGCAAAGTATCCGTATTTACGGTGCATGTAGGGTGCTTGTTTATCCAGGGTCTTCCGGCCCCGCCTCATCCTGTGGCTGCATAAACGGACGCGCGGTACTTCCGCATCTCTCACTCTCAATCACCATGCCAGAAAACCAGGGCAAAGTGGTCTCACTATTTGAGCTCATCGGATGCCTAACGCTTAGTAGCTGCTTTTCTCTGCAAGTCAGTAAATATGCTCAGAGTGTTGACTAACAGATCTGCTCGAGTGTTAGTCGTTTCTGCTTCACACCCTCGGAGACGTGAGGCAGTCAGTCAAGTAAGCTTCTGTATTCCATTGTCCTTACTCAAGGATCTCCAGCATGCTCGCCCATCTAGACAAGGTCGACCATCGACTCTCGCGCAATCCGAATTAAACCAAGCCCTTCCAACACGCTGATCCCGTAAACGCCCCAGCACCAATCCCGAATAACCTCCCAAGTACATGCCAAAATTTCGACGGGGTCAGATAATGTTAAGTGGCGTATGCTGCACCATCCTCGTCCCGTTCAGCATCGCCTTTGACTTCTTGGGCCGTTGCTGGAATCGTCGAAAGGCCTCCTGCACATGCCTGGGCTCAATCGGCCTCTTGCCCTCGCTAGGCGGATCAAAGAGGCCCTGGTGAAGCTTCCTCTTCTTCGACCCGGCCGCCTTGTCGTCGTCGCCCCCGCCGCTCTGCGCCCGCGCCAAGTCTTCCTGCTCCTTGACCTTGAGCGCAATCTCCGTCAGGACCTGCACCATCTCGAACGTCAAGAAGCCGAGAATATCGACAATGTCGTCCGAGGGCTTGCTGTCCGTCACAATGCCGAATCCGGCCCACTCGCGGAAGCGTTTGCCTTTGCGGTATGTGAAGGATGCCTGGCGATACTCCGACCACGTCACATACTCTTCCTTAGTCATGACCTTTGTGCGCTCGTCGGCACGCCGCAACCGCTGCAGGGTGATAAAGTTCATCTCGTCTTCGTCCTCGTCCTCCTCGTCGTCGCGCTCGGGCACTTCCACCGGGTACAGGGACGCATGCTCCCAGGGGAGACCAATCTTGGACTTTTTGTTCTTCTTGGCGGCCTCGTCGGCTGGTCCTCCGCCCACCACGCCGCCTGTGGGATCGTCACCGGCTGCGAGATCAGCGTCGGCTCCCTTGTCATCCGAGTCCTTCACGTTCTTCCGCACGTCTTTCCAGCTAAGAAATGTCCGTAGCCGCGAGACCTTGGCCTGGTCGTGGCGAATCTGAAAGATGAGATCGTTGATACTGATGGACTTGGACCCTCGACGGGAGGCTAGCTCTGTGCAATTGCGCAGCTTACGGTATTGTTAGCCTTGGATGTTGCAGGCGAGCTCCTCGCAGCATGGGGGCTTACCATTTCTATCACCTGCTGGCGCACAATGTCTTCCATGATACTCGTCGTTTCCGCAGGAGGTTCAGCAGTTTCGCCGCTGACGTACATCATCTGTAAGAAGAAGGATTCAATCAGCCTGTGTCCGAACAGCCTAATCATGGCTTCCTTGTGTGATCTAGTATTGGGGTTGTATGAAAACAGGCTGGTCATGATGGCGGCAGATGTCATTCAAGATGTGAATGAGGGAAGAGTAGTGAGCGCCCACGATTTCAGCGCAACAGTAGTAAACCGCCTCGACCTGAGGTGCAAGCGAGCTCATGGTGAGCGCCTGAAGCCTCGCCCAGAACCAGACTGCGGGTCTCCGTTTCGACAATGCTTGACAGTCACAGCCAGCCAACGGCCGATCATGCGATGAGCCGCGCGCAAAACTTGTCGAGCGCTATACCCGCTGTAGGTCCTATCGAACACGGCTGGCGTTCTGTTCGCCCACCACAGATTCTTTGGCGATGATGATGATGGGATGGGGGTGCGTAGACATAGGAAAGGGCCAGGCCAATTGACATACCTGACTGATCTCACTGCGGTACTTATACTGCTTGTCCGCCATCTTGCCAACTCAAAGGGACCCCAATGGCCCCTCAAATTCTCTTGGACGGGAAGTATCAATGCAGGCGATGGTCTGGAGCGTGTAATGGATGCGGCAAGCTGCGTACGCGCAAGATCGTCGCCGACTCGTCTCCAGTATTAGAACGCCAAGGATGATATACGAATGCTGACTGGATGTTTGGACAAGAAAGCGATGGTAATAAGAGGGCTCAAGTAGTATAAATGAATTGCGACAAAATAATCCATAGTAATTGATGGTTGTAGCGCATGTGTGAATGGCACCACGATTCGGCTGGCCGGCTGGTCACGGTCGCTAGACGCCAATGCGACGCGGCACGTGACACCCTTCTTCATCAACGCCAACGCTTGTCTAGGGTGGTCGATCACAACATGGTCCGAAGTAAGTATTCTATATCTCGCTAGTAATAAGCTAGTTTGGCAGTTCGTTCCAACCCTGTACATCAAGGCCTTTCGAGCCCCACGCGACGACATAATGCCCAGCAAGCAACTCCCACTCCTCGACCTCGTCCAGCCCCTCTAGCGAATCAAGTCTGGTCTTCTCGTCTTCGCTCACCCACCTCCTCCATATATCCCCAACAGTCATGGCTTTCACTGATCCATGAAACCCGGCCTCCGATAGCCTCTTCTCCTGATCTGTCGGTGTAGGGTACGAATCCAGCGTCGGCATACTGATGCCCCTCGCAGCAAGATTCGAAGTCATGACTTTCCCAAAAGCATCATGCGATAGCACGGGTTCGTAGATGACTGTGCCAAGTGACTGTATGCGGTTGTGGAAGTACGCAAGCACAGCCGCTGCCTGCTCAGTCGCCAAGTAGCACAGGCAGCATTCGGAGACCACAAGGGTGGGTATGTCGGTCCGTAGACCTGGTATGAGAGCTTGGCTCTCGCCGGCATCGACCAGTTTCCGAAGATCGAGGCCATGGCAGTGATACTCCCCCCGTGTGCCAAGATCACTACTCCAATAGGTCGCATCTTCACTGACGGTGATCTCACCCATGATCCTTGACAACATTGGGTTCCCTCGGACGATCCGCATCTTCTTCTGCGAGATGACCTCAAAGTCGATTTCGTGGTACACTAGACCTTCGGTCTCGCCCCTTGCGAACCGCCTGAAGACCCTCGTGTCTGTCCCAGCGCCTAGACTCACGATTTGCCTCTGTCCCCGGCCATCGAGAAATGCATCCACAAGCCGATCCAATGCCGTGGTTCGTGTGTATGTGCCGCGGTTGATGATGGGGAGTCGTCTTGTCGGCGGTCCCCCATCTGCGCTGACGAAGAACTGGGCGTATGGATCTGTGAGGTAGCCGCAGTGCACAGCACTGAGGCGGGAGACGGCAGCATCGGTGTCGGTGCCTTGGATTGTCGTGTCATGCGCATCAGGGTGGGCTCTGCCTCTACCCCTTGAGGCGCGTGAGCCCCCTCTGCCGCGCAGGGTGAGGAGGTTTGGTATTGAGGACGGCATCGATGATCGACTGCGATTCCGATAGCGGAATCGTATCTTGGAATGAAGCGTGCAGGTTATTGCAAAGTTGAGGATATTCTGTCAATATTGGTGAGTTGTCGATTCTTTGATGAAACAGAGACGGTGGTTATTATGTCAAGCTGAGGTCGCTCACTCGTGATGGTGGGGCAGCGATGTTTGCCTCAACTCACGATTTCAGTACATCATGGGTAAACTTCAGCATTAGTCACCTCGATGAAGCGGTCGGATACTTTAAACTTAATCTAATCGTTCAGTTCTTATGACTCGTCTGTAATCATGACAAGGAAATAGTCTGCCGCTTGCTGCTATACCCCCGAACACAAGATATGGCCCACCCAATAATCGAATCCAACAAAATGACTGCCCGTCCCATCCTCTACGCATATGGAGAAAAAGGTCTTTCTGCCCCGGCCATCCTCGCCGTTCCATCAGAGCTTGGTTCTGCAAACGCAAAGGGCGGCCTAACAACGGAAAGCAACGGAAATGATGCCGTTGCCGGCATCCTCTGGGTATCGGTGTCCTCCTCTCGCTCGCACGCACGCATGCATGCACGCAGACGCCTGCTCGCCGTCGATCCGTGTATATACCGTCCGTCTAACCCTTGTTAAAGAACCAGCTTGATCGCTTGTTTCCGCCGTTGCCATTGCCATTGCCACTCTCGTTCTGAATCGTCTGTATGGTCGGGTTCACAGCGGGCGCGTCGCCGCCTCCACCGCGCAGGGGCTTCGCGATGCGGCTGCCTGCACCTGCGAAGCTGAAGCCGCCGCCCGCCTGGTTCAGACCACGCGTGCTGCCAGCCTTGGCACTCTCCAGACGTTCCTTGACGGAGGCAAGTTGCACCTCGAACCTATCACGATGTTAGCATATAAGAAAACGAGCAAGAGCAACACGTGGGACATACTTGTGGTTGGCAGCTGCCATCTTTTCCTGGCTGTCTTGCAGCAAGCTCTCCAGGCTCTGGATGCGCTCATTGCGAGCAATCAACTTGCGCTCAGCAATGGCCACCTCCTTCTTGAGCGCCGAGTTCTGCTCGACCAGCTGTCGTTGTACCTGGGTGAGTTGCTCGAGGTTGCGCTCCAGGAACGCCATCTTCTTCTGCTGTGCCCTGTTGTTCGAGGAGCGCAGCACGTTGTTGTACTGCTCCCGCGTTTCGTCCAGGGAGATCTCGAGCTCGACCACACGCTCGCAGCGGTTCTGCAGATCTCGCATGAGACTCTTCTTCATGACATCAAACTCGGCAATCTGTTGCTGCACCGTCTTGCCGTTGGTCGCTCCCGAGCTCCCGCCAGACTTGGCGCGTTGCTGAAGATCTTCGATAAGGGTCTTCATGCGCGTGTTTTCGGCTGCTTTCTGGGTAATGTCGGCCTTGAGCTCGTCGACCAATTGTCCCTGGGTCGTCTGGCGATTGTGGTACACGTGCTCCAGGCGCGCCTTGACCTCCTCGACGTCACTCTCGCCCAGGTTGCGCGTGAGGCAGTCCTCGTACTCTTGCTGGAGAGCCTCCAGTCTCGACTCGAGCTCTTGCCTGCGGCGGGCGTCCATGTCGTTGGATCCAGCGCTGTACATGGACAGCTCAGCCTGCCGCACAATGCCTTGCGTCTCGACCATCTTGGCCCTCAGTGCCTTGAACTCGTCGGGGGCAATGTTGTCGCCAACGGAGCTTTGCTCGTACAGTGTGTCGAGCTTGGCGATGGCCTCGCCGATGGACCGCTCATTGTCGCTGAAGACATCGCCGCCGAGTTCGAATCCAGCCATCATCTTGGCCATCTTTTCAGCCTTCTTCTTCTCCTTCTCGTCCATGGCGGCACCACTCTCCTTGGCGCTCATCTTGACATCCAGAAGCTGCTGCTTGACCTCGTCAAGCTCTGCCGTCAGCTCCGCGTTGGCTTCCTTCAGCGCATCCATGGTGATCTGCGCCTCCTTGCCCTCAAAGTTGAGCCGCTCGAGCTGCATCTTGAACTCGTTGACCTCGCCCGTCAGCTTCTCGTTCTCCTTTCCGACCTTGCTGTCGTGCTCCTTGATGTAGCCTAGCTCCTCCTTCATCTCGCGCAGCTGCTTCTCGGCAGTCGTAGCCAGCGACTCCTTCTCGGCAAGCTGATCCTGCAGCTCGTTCTCCCGCCTCAAGAACTCCTCGCGTTCGTCCCTTTCCAGTGGTATACTTGGTGTACCCGAGCGCTCAGAGGGGATCGGGGTCTCGGCGCGGCTGTCGGGAGCAAACCTTGAGGGTGTCGAGGGCCTAGGTTGCCTCGCCTCGGCCTTGACTACAGCGCCGGCAGCGCCAGGCTGAGCCCAGCTCTCTTTGGGAACCTGTTCACCAGCACGCCACAGGTTGATTTCGCCCTCCAAGTTCGCAATGTAGTTCTCGAAGTTGGTGACTTGGCCCTGTGCCTTCTTGAGGAGCGTCTTGAGCTCGGCAGGGCTGAGCTCGGCGTTGACCTTGGCCTTGTTCTTGATCGACTTTGCTCTGGTACCGAAACGCAAAGTACCAATGGTCTCGGCATCGTTATAGCTGCTGGGCGAGCAGTTGACGATCAGAGTCGTTCGACTGTTACCACCCAGGGACTCTTGCAGGATACGAGTGAGCTTGGAATCTCGGTACGGGATGTGAGAGGATTTGCCATCGGTCAAGGCGTTGATGACCATACCAAGAGCACTCAAACTCTTATTGATCTTTTTCGCCTCTTCCAGAGTCTGACCACTGGCGCCCGTTTTGCCGACCTTCTCGCTACCAGCCAGGTCGACCAAGAAGAGCTGACCACTCTTCGCCGAGCCGGTTTCAACATTCTTCTGAGTGACGGTGATGACGAAAATCGAGTGTGAGCGAGAGGACTCCTGGTTCATGTTGGTGGCCGCCACAGCGCGAGCATTGCCTCCTCGTCGCATGACTTCGTACACTTCCTGAACGCTTGACACATATATCTCCAAAAGCCCCTTGACGTAGACACCACGGTTCTTCTCCTCGTGGACAGGGAGATTATCGTTCTGTGGCGCGAGAAGATCGCGAATCTTCTCCATGTAGATCTCCATGTAGCTAACTCGAACAGTGTACTCGATGGTTTCAGGGCTCGACATGATGCTGGCGAAGATCTGCTCGACAATACGTGGGATAACTCCCCTGCCCTCCTCGTCGTCGATATTCGAGCCCATCATGGCTGCGGGAACAGTCAGCGATTGCCATTACGTGCGAGCTCCCAAGACGTACTATATGATTTACCGGCACCCGTTTGGCCGTAGGCAAATACGGTGCCATTGTAACCGTTGATAATGTCGTCGACTGTTGGGCGAATGGAGAAGTCGAAAATGTCCTGTTGCTTGCATCCCATGTCAAAGACCCTGTCAAAGGTGAAGCTACCTTGCGCTTCGCGCGACTGTGCGTCTGTCAGCCATTGGTCGAGAGCGTCCCCGGTTCTTCAGGACATACATCGAGAGTACATGTTTCCTCCGAGTCGAACGTAACGATTGGTTTACCTCCCGACTCCAGCTCTATGCGGTTCTGCGGCCGGAACCGTGCCACGACCTTGATGCTGTTGGCAGCAGACATGGTGAATGTTCCCTTGTCCAGAGCTCGCTCGCTTTCATCCGTGCGCAGGCAGACTGCTGACCTCGAGGTCTATCGTTCAGGGGGTGGGGACAGGCTGCGGGTGCCCGAGGCCGGCGTCGAGGTAATCCAGGGCAGTGCCCGAATTAGGTTGTCGGTGGACGATAACAAGCTGCGATACTTGACCTAGTCGTAGGGACTGGGGAAACGTGGCAGAAGGTCTAATAATCCTGGCCGTACCCGCAGCGTCGAAGTAAGGGGAGAGACCGCTCTTTACGCTTGGCAACCGCGACGGGAGGAGGTACGTAGTAGCGGGTTGTTGACGCGCTACCATGAAGGTGGGAGGGACTTCGGAGGGTTCGCGTGCAGCAAGATGACAGGATGGGCTGCCCGTTGCCGTCCAAGCCACACGGCATAGATTGCTACAGGCGGGCGCTGGCGTCCAGTCTGCCGAGTCGCCGACGCTGCGCTAACAACCTCCTGTGTGGCTCACTCGCACCGCCACAATTGGGGGTTCATGGGTGCCAAGACAAACGTTCCAAACGTACGGACTCGTTGCGTCTAGGTACTGCCATCACTTGGGGACCAGCGTGCTGTACAAACATCGTTCTAGATTTGTTGACATTTGTAATCAAAGAACACCACTAAAGGCGCCAAAAGTAATCTAAAGACAAGCCACTGACATGAACAAATACAACGCTGCCATCGTGAACACCCTCGAGCTATGGACCTCAACACTACCCGAACGACCAATATCCTTGCCCTATGCGACCGGTTCCTTGGTATAAAAGCTCAAAATGCGCCAGTAAACGCCTGCAAACTCCACAGCTCCGATATTGGAGACAGAGCGGTGCCCAAGGCTCACGCTATGTCGCTGGTGCTTCCGCTTGATGAAAGTGAGCCCTCAGTCTTCCCAGCTCTTCTCCACGGTCTCCTTCACCCGCTTCGTGTATTCTTTGCGATTGTCTTTGTACAGGTTCGACGCCTCGACGTTGGCTGGTGATCCGGTATTGGGGTCGTTGAGGAGACTGTCGCACGTTAGACCCTGTGTCAGAGTATGTCCCTCCTCGCTCACCTTTGAATGCTCGTGAGCACTGCAGCAACGTCATACGTCGGACTCCATCTGTTTTGAAGGATATCGAGACAGAGTTCGCCCGATGAGTACACGTTTGGGTGGAACATCTGGCTGATGAACTTGACTTGTGGCGGTTTGTTGGGGTACTGCTCCTCGAACTGCATCACGAGTCGAAAGGTTCCATCTTCGAAAGGTGTATCGGCAGGACCGATGATGACTGCGTTCCTGGAAATGTTCGTGAGCTGTTGTTCACAAAGCTTACGATGCGATGGCAGCATACCATGTCATGACATTGTCGGAAACAGGCGAGGCCGAGACACCAGCGGGAGGATCAGTTTGCATGCGCTGGAACATGTCAGCTCAACCATATCCTATTTGACACTATCGGTGATTGCTTGCCTTGAAGTCACGCATCAAACGGCGGCGTGCAGCTGTCGACATCTTGGGGTATTGGTTGGGTAATCGGACGTTGCGCAAGGGTCTTCGTTGTCGGGTGATGAGGGGGGTGACTCGTCACAAGAAATGTAGGATCGAAAAGTCTCTCTGATGAGCACGGTCGGCGGAGAGGAATTCGGACACGAAGAGGCGAAGGATAGGTTTGTGAGTGATCAAACAGACTCGAGTGGATAATGTACGTAGTGCGGTAATGGGCTCCTCATCTACACCAAGTGGCTTGCCGTCCAGTCTTCTAACTTGCGGCCCCGCCACGTGTGGCGCGCCCTCACGTGATGATCGCGGGAGGAACGCCCAAGTAGGTACGTACCTTACCTTACTAACATCGTCGTGCCATGCTCGAGGCCTGGTGATAACATGCAAGCTACAAATTCAAGTTACAATCTTTCGGGGTTTGTTGGACGAGACAATGCTGTTTTGTCAGCATCACATGTCCGTTGCGGGCATCAGTGATCAGCACCCTCGAAAGGTGATGATCGATCGGATCCGATATCTGTCTTGACAGGGTGATGATGCGCTACCCCGGACGGGCTGCACCACCGACACGCTCGGCCACCCGTCACTGCCCGCCGAAAGCCGAAGCGGACCGAGCTGAGACGACCTAGGCATCTGGGTATGTAAGGTGCGGATAGGTTCCTCCAACAACCCGATCTTCTTGTCCCCCATTCCGTTTCCTTCCTTTCCCCGTGTCCATACCCCTTCCCTGCTATCTCTGTTTTTGTGATACGTTCTGTTCCAACCGTCGACAAAACCGACTTCGAAACGAATTACAATGGTGATGGCAATGACGCAATTGCGCTCCCCGAGGCTGGCTGGGCAGTTCGCTCGGCATGTGAAGACGGTGCGCGCCTTCACCACCAGTGCTGCCCTGCGCAAGGAGATCCAGGATGCCTACATTCTCAGCGCTGCGCGCACACCGACAGCCAAGGTTTGTCAGATGCTGCTTGAAATCGCCTCCACTCCAGCTTCAAAACTAACTTGGTCAGTTCAACGGCTCGTTTACCACTGTCGAGGCCTCCAAGCTGGGCGCTGTGGCGATCAAGTCAGCACTGGAGAAATCCAAGGTTCCCGTTGAGCACATTACCGATGTGTACATGGGCAATGTTCTCAGCGGCAACATGGGCCAGGCCCCCGCTCGTCAAGCCGTCATCTTCGCCGGTCTACCGCAGTCCGTAGAGGCCACCACCGTCAACAAGGTCTGCGCCTCGGGTCTCAAGTCCGTTGCGCTGGCTGCGCAGAACATTGAGCTTGGTCTCGCTGAGGCGCAGATTGCCGGTGGGATGGAAAACATGACGCGGGTGCCTTATTACCTGCCTCGTGCCAGTGGCCTGCCTGCCTTTGGCAACGTCAAGCTTGAGGATGGCTTAATAAAGGACGGCCTGACCGATGTTTACGACCAGTTTCACATGGGCAACTGCTGTGAGAACACTGTGAAGGAACACGGCATCACCAGAGAACAGCAGGATGAGTACGCCATCCAGTCCTACAAGAACGCGCAGAAGGCTTGGTCGGAGAAGGCATTTGCCGAGGAGATTGCCCCTGTCACTGTCAAGGGCCGCAAAGGCGACACAGTCATTGATACCGACGAGGGTTTCATGGACATCAAGTTCGAAAAGGTACCAACCCTCAAGCCAGCTTTCGTTCGCGACGGCAGTGGGACCGTAACCGCTGCCAACTCATCGACCCTCAACGACGGCGCCAGCGCTCTGGTCCTGGGCAGCAAGGCCATTGCGCAGAAGTACGGCTCTGGCTCGCGAGTATTGGCCAAGATCTGCGGGTACGCTGACGCCGCCATCGCGCCCATCGACTTCCCCGTGGCTCCAGCCAAGGCTGTGCCCATTGCTCTCGAGCGTGCTGGTATCACCAAGGACCAGGTGGCGGTTTGGGAGTTTAATGAGGCCTTTGCCGGTGTTATCCTGGCTAACTCCAAGATCCTTGGTCTGGAGAACGCAAAGGTCAACCCTCTGGGCGGTGCTATTTCCTTGGGCCACGCCCTCGGCAGCTCAGGGTCGCGCATCTTGACGACTTTGCTTCACCAGCTGAAGCCTGGCGAGTACGGTGTCGCTGCCATCTGCAATGGTGGCGGTGCGGCTACTGCACTTGTGGTGCAGCGTGTAGAGTCGGTTTGAGAGCCATGGCATTTCAAATGGTGTAAATACATACGCGAAAAGCAAAAAAATGTATAAATGAAGCATAAGTCTTCACCACACATTGCGGGCTTGTCGAGGCAGTGGCGCGTTGTAGGGTAACCTGTAGAACAGGCCATTGACGACGGGACTGGACCTCTCGTATACTGCCAACGTTTCTCAACCTCTTCATCATCCAAATTTCTTGACTGCCGCGACGGTGCGACAGCACACATCATGTCCCGGGTCAACGAACTGCTCGTCACAATACGCAAAGATATCGCAAGCGGCAACGGAGAAAAACTCAGGCAATGGCTGCAGGTGGTGCCAGAAGCCCCGGCTAGCTACCATGAAATGGGCCAGGAGCTTCGTGGCAAGCGGGACAAGCCATTGCACGGATCCCTCGAGAAATGGATCGAGCATATGATCCCCGACGAGACGGACCATGCCAAAGAAGGGCAGATCACTGCGTGGGGCGGGCTGTACGCGTTTATCAAGGAGTATCTCATCTACTGGCGCGATGCCGATTGGAATGATCTGCTGAGAACGCACGAGCTTCTCACCAATCTTGTCAAGTAGGTCGGCCCTCTCACTCGCGATACTTGCCCATCGACTGATAGCCTTCAAAGTGCCAGCGCAACAGCCTTCTCGTACCCCTCTGGGGGTGACATACTCATGCAGACATGCTTGGCCCTCTCACAGACCCTCGCACAGCTGACAATGACGCTGAGCCGGCGACCAGACCTGCTTCGCAAGGCAAAGCGCGCAGAAGATGCGAGCGGCGACGGGGGAGGCGACGATGGCCAAGGCTCCATCATTGGCAGGACCTCCGAAACCATCAAGAAGATCTTTACGACGTGTCTTCAAGATCGTACAACAGACAGGTGGACGGCGCCAAAGGGGAGAAAGCAAGCCGTCTACACATTCGCAAACCTGGTCCTCAAGCTCTCTTTTGCGGTGAGTTAATTCTCTTTTGCCGTTGTTGCGCACACCACGTTACTAAGAAGCCTCCAGTGCCGCAAAATCACACCAGCAACCATGCTGCTCAGTCAGATGGCCTCACAAGCACCGCTGCTCAACCTCTACCCAGCCGCGCAACGCGTCACCTTTCTCTACTACCTCGGCCGCTACTGGTTCGCCAACACACACTACCTCCGAGCAGCGCACTGCCTCGAGGCAGCATACCTCCAGACTCTCCCCACATTCGTCACACATCGCGCCAGGATTCTCACCTACCTCATCCCGTGCAACCTCCTCCTAGGGCGCTTCCCCTCCCAAAACCTCCTCAGCAGACCCGAGGCCAAGAACCTGGCCCCTGTCTTCTTCCCGCTCTGCGCAGCCATACGCTCCGGCGACTTCGCAGCTTTCCAGGCGCATCTCGCCACGCAGCAGGATTGGCTCTACGAGCGAGGCCTATTCCTCCAACTAGCACACAAGTTACGGCCACTGCTATGGCGGAGTCTGGCGAGGAAGACGTTCATCCTGACATATCAGCCGCCCGAGGACGCCTCGTCGCGCAAAGCCGCCACGCTTGACCTGGCCGACTTGCAGACCGCCGCGTCGTTCCTGCAGAGACGGATCGAAGGCTACACGCCCTCGTCGACCACGCATCGCCCCTCCCAGGGCGTCAACCCACTGGCCGTGCACGCGGCCCGGAACAATGCCAACACGACGCTCGTCGCGCCGCCCAGTGGGCCACGCAAGCTCCGCTCGCACGAGGGCATCCTGTGGGGCAATGCGCAGATCACCGCGGAGGATGTTGAGATGATGGTGGCGGAGATGGTGCAGCAGGGCCTTATGCACGGGTTCGTGGCGCATGGGCAGGGACGTTTCGCCATCATAGGCGCAAAGGCCAAGGGACCGGTGGCTGCAGGGTGGCCAACCCCGTGGGCAGCGATAGCAGATAGGAAGTACGACCAGTACTACGATCAGGAGGATGTACCTGGGTGGGTGAAGGCTTGATGAAGTGTACATGCGTATATAGCGAGGGACATGGTACGATACCCATACGAAGAATGCAAGGCGCCGTTGAGATCACGAGGAGACGGGAGTCATGATTCTTTATAAATTACTTGTTCGATCGTATACACGCCCTTTCCCCCTCCCACCGAGAAACTGCGCTATCCTGAAAGTGCCGAAGAAGAAGGAGAAGAAATACCCTCTCCTCGTGTACATGGCCCGTGGCGTCGTGTCCCAAACTTGATATCACTGAGAAAGATTTTTGGCTTTTCCTACTCCGCCCTCCCACATGTACTGTAACCAGAAGAACACCACCAAATGTATATATATGCTGCAAGGGTATATCACAAGAAGTAAATACGTGCCAAACGCCCAGCTGTCAAAGAAGAAAAAAACGACAGCATGAGAATGTTGCTTGACCAAAAAGAAGGGGGGGGGGGGGCCGCCGCGTAAAGCTTGAAAAGCCATCGTCGGATGGGTGTGGATGGTATATATGTTTCGGAAGAGAAGCGTTGTCGTGGCAGCCCGGTGACATGGACTTAGAAGAAGTACAGGGCCACGACAAAGGCGACGACCAGACCGGCCATGGCCGGGTCGCCCTTGCGGGCGATAGCGAAGTCGTCCTCATCGCCAGAGTCATTCGCGGCGTCACCGGTGGCCTCCGAGTCGGAACCAGTGGTGAGCGTGGCGCTGTGCGAGCCGCTTGTCATGGTGGACGTTGAGTTTTGCAACTCCTGGAAGATACCGGGCTTGGCAGTGATCTTCTTCCTCTTGGTGCTCGTCGAGGTAGTTTCGGTGGACGAGAGAGTAGGCGTCGAGGAGGAGGAGGAGGAAGAGGTGGTAGTCTCCTCATAAGTAGTCGATGTCGAAACCACAGTGGTCGACTCCACGGTCGTTGAGGTGGTGGACGAAGTGGTGGGCTCCTCAGACGTGGTTGTAGGTTCCTGCGAAGTTGTAGAGGGAGCAGCTGAAGACGTCGTAGGCTCCTCCTCCTCCTCTTCTTCTTCCTCCTCGTCATCGTCGTCCTTGCTTCCACCGCTGCTAGAGCCGTCCAAGGACTTGACAATGATGCTGGCAGTGCTCCCCTTGGGAACGGTCACAACGCAGAAGTTGTTGCCAGCGTCGCCAGTGCCGGCGTTGGAGCTCTGGACGTCACCCTTGCCCTTGGAGGGGTCGATGCCACAAGGCGTGCCAACACAGTCACCATCGCACTCAACTTCCAGCTTGTAATCGACTGGCTGGCTGTTCAGCGCGGAGATCTTCTGCCACTCAGGGTTCCAACTAAGCGTGAGGAAGGTGTTGCCGGTAGCGTCGGTTTTGGCACCAGCCACGTAGGGAGACCAGTTGCCAATGGCTTTCGAGGATTCGCCCCAGACACAGCCCTCGGCGCCAGTGCCGGGAGGGTTGACGTAGTAGTGAGCTGAAGTCTCACACCAGTAGCTTGTGTCGGGGACGGCAATGGTAACACTGTCCTTGACGAGAGTCGGAATAATCATGGCCTCGTTGCCAGGGTAGACTGTCTGGCAGAAGGAGACATCACCACCAGCCTTGTTGACGGCTTTCACGGTACCAGTACCCTTGACGCAGTATGGCTTGTCGTCAAATGGCTTCTCCAGCTCACCATTCTTGTCGCAGTACAGGCCACCGTTCATCGAAGACGGATAGCTGACGGTCGAGCCCTTCTCCCACTGCGCCATGACATATCCAGGTTTGCAAGCGTAGGGGCAATAGCTGTCCGCAACACAGGCCTGGTCGGGGCTCATGGCCCAGCCCGCATTGTCAGAGTCTGGCGTGATGGCCACCAGGTTGGGGTCGGCATCGCCAGGGAAGGCGCAGGTTGTACCTCTCTTGGCAATGTCAGAGGTAGGAGCAAGTTTGAGATCGCGCTCGTGCAAGTGTGTATGCTTGCGCTCCAGGTGTTCCTCGTGAAGACGGCGGTGGTTGTGATGGTGGCTGGCCTCGCATAGGGGCGACGACAGGAGAACAAGCGTCCAGCCAAAGACGGCCTGGACAGATGCCTTCATCGTGACGAGGAGTGGACAATGTCGCGTCTAGCGATATGTCTAGGAAGCAGATCTGAGGCTGGGTTGAGTGATCGTCGGGTTTAGCTTGGCTAGTGGTCGATCAAAGATCGACTTGTCTGTAGTATAAATGAATGAACGTCGTGGTATTTCGTAACGATTGTCGTGAATTGCTGGCTGATGAGCAATGTATGGGGGCGTCTACTCGACAGACAGCCTCGTGGCGTAGTATATTCCACACGCGACTGTGGACGCGATGAGCGACTGGAGCGAGCGAGCGACTGAACGTGATGGCAAAGGCAAGAAGAACAAGAACAGAAAAGGACGGCCAGGTCAGCCAAATGAACGTGGGGAGCAAGCAAGCAAGATGGAGCCAGGAGGGAGAGACTGAGAGCCTAGCCTAGAGGACCGGGAAAGGGGAGTGGAAGCTGAAAAAGCCTGGCCGGGCAGGGATGTTGACTTGTCGCTCCGGTAAGGTCAAGGAGGTAAATAAGACCCTCCAGTCTCCCTCCGCCAAATCCCCTGGAGCACCCTCTGGCTGGTGGACGCCATCATCCATGTCACGGTTCCGCATGTCGTGGGCGGCGGTTCCACATGGTTTGCATTCCGACCAATGCTGTCGCGATCGCGAAATGAGCTTCAGGGATGCCCAATCAGCGTCTCGACGAGCTGCAAGGTACGGACAGGGGACTCCAATGGTTAGGCTCTACCGCTCTCTAGCTCTGCCCTCATCTCTCTTAGACTCTCTAGCGGTAGCCAGCGGGATCGTGAGATGAGATTGGGTTCTGATGAGTGCATGATCGATCACGCCGTCTTCCCATCGTCTTCTTGCGGATGCTGAGCCCGATCCGCGAGCATGATCGTTCGCACGTACGTACATAGTCGCCCAGTCCCACATGGCCATTCCGACTTTGGTCCAATTCCATGCAAGCGAGCGTTGCTGCAATGAGCCAAGGACTGGGCGCGACGAGATTCGTCCGAACCATTGAGACATGAAGCGAGTCAGCTGGCAGGGTGATGAGACACGCTCTGCCCCGCGAGTTGCGTTTTCGATTCAAGTGTGAAAAGCAGCATCTCAGCGTCGAAGCCGCCATTGACAGTCGAACTCGCTGACCTGGACTGGTCTAATTAGTACGTACAGACTGGCCGGCCATGTTCTCATGATACTTGTTGTTCACGGTTCTTATAGGTCCATGCCAGTCGGGTCTGTTTTGTCTCTGCGCTTACCTGCCTACCCTGTACCTTGACTCCTCATAACCATCCAAGCAGCATATCTGCTCGCAGGTGATGTTCGCATTCCAAGTGCCACATCTTACGTGTTGACAAGGAATCGTACTATAGAGCTCATTCCGTTTTGTGTACTCTTCAAAGTTCTTTGGCTCTGTTCTCACCGTTTTGCGGATGGTGATCGGTTGAAACACTCAATATTTTGCGGCAGCGTGTGCAACTCCTGCTTCCATGCTCTGAACGTCATATTCATTCCAGCAAAGAGCCATGCGCGCCAGGAAGGGACCGATTCCTTTGAAACAGTAGCGTCAGCAACATATCCCATCCAAAGCCCAGGACACGGTACGTAACGCGGACTCTGCATGGAAATACTACTTCCGCGTATGAGTCAGGCTCTCCACGAAACCTGGGGATCATTGACTCGAGACCCCGCAGTCTCCGGTTAGCGTCCGCATACCCTCAACCTCCCAGCGGAGGATGTTATCCGCAAGGTGATAGATATTTAGGTCGATAGCTAGGTACTCGACAGAGATGTATCGTTGTATTCCACGCATTCACCTGATCAAGGCTGCAAAAACTTGGACTTGACATCACAGATTCCAGATACCATGGCCCCATCAACAAGACGACCAGTCCGCATTGCGGGCTGCTCTGGCGGCTTCACAGATCGCTCGCGTGCGATCAAGTCGATGGCTGAAGACCCCGATGTCGACGCTGTGATAGGTGACTGGATGGCAGAAATGGTAGGGAACCTGTGCTCAAGACGTTGAGTATCATGCTAACATGACAATGTCACAGACCATGACTATGCACGGCAGCGGCAAGGCCAAGAACCAGGCCAAGCTACCTGCGGGTGCCAAAGAATCGCTGTCCCTCGAGGAGCGTATGAAGACGGCCATGTATGCCGAGACATTTGTTCAGTGCTTCGAGCCGGCCATAGAAGCCCTGTCCAAGAACCAGTGCAAGCTCGCCGTGAACGCCGGCGCCTCTGACACGGAGCTGCTCGCGCAGGTGTGCCAGAAGATGGTGCAAGACGCGGGTCACGGGCATCTCAAAATTGCCTGGGTCGAGGGTGACGATGTGACCCAGCAGGTCAATCGATTGATCAAGGAAGGCGAGCAGTTTGAGAGTCTGATGCACGGAAAGAAGCTTGAGGAATGGGGTATGGAGCCCATATGCGCACAGGCATATCTTGGAGGCCTTGGAATTGCCGAGGCGCTCAGGCAAGGCGCCGACATTGTCATTTGTGGCCGTGTGGCAGACGCTGCCCCCGTGATAGGTGTTGCGGCGTAAGGCCTTTCTCCCTTCTTCATTCTCTCCCTGATGGCTGACTCTTTAGGTGGTGGCATGGCTGGAACGCCGATCAGCTCGACGAGTTGGCCGGTGCTTTGATTGCCGGCCACTTGATCGAATGCTCAGCCTATGTGACTGGCGGATATTACGGTGGTTTCAAAGAGTTTATGAAGGACAAGAAACACGTGAACATGGGCTTCCCCATAGCCGAGATTGACGAAAAGGGCGAGTGCGTCATCGTCAAGGAGAAGAACACTGGTGGCGCTGTGAATGTGGGAACTGTTGCCTCACAGCTCCTTTACGAGATCCAGGGACCGTAAGTGCCGACGAAGCCTTGCGAGCCGCTCTTGCTGACGGACCAAAACAGCTGGTACTATAACTGCGATGTGGTCGCCGACATTACAGGCGTTGTCATGGAGCAAGCGGGCGAGGACGCTGTGCGCGTGACAGGGGTAAAGGGGTTGCCGCCGCCGCCCACGACCAAAGTCGGCATCACTGCACCTGCAGGTTTCCAGGCCGAGTGGCACATTTACTTTGTCGGCCTCGACATTGAAGAGAAATGCCGATTCACCGAGGACCAGATCCGATATGCCATTGGCGACAACATCTCAAAGTTCACCACCCTCAAGTTCCACCAGAACGGCTCCTCGCCCATCGACGCGCGCAACCAGGACGTGGCCACGGTGGACTTTCGCATCTTTGCTCAGAGCAGGGACCCAGAGGTCATGCGACCCGACATTCCGAACGGCTTCAACCGCTGGGTGCTCGAAGTCTTCCTGCAGAGTGCCCCCGGTGCGTCACTGAGCAATGACCTCAGGCAGATTGCGCCCAAGCCGTACTATGAGTACTGGGTGTCGTTGCTGCCACAGACCGAGCTGAACCACCGCGTGCACTGCCTCTTTGGTGAGAACAAGATCATCAAGATGGACGCACCTACACAGACAAGGACGTATCCCAAGCAGCAGCCAAGCTACGAGACGACAGAGCCTCGAGCCCTGGACAGCTGGGGCGAGACAGAGAGGGCACCGCTCGGGTACATTGTGCTAGGGCGATCCGGTGACAAGGCGAGCGACTGCAATGCCGGCTTCTTTGTGAGGCACGCGGATGAGTGGGAGTGGCTGCGCAGTTTCTTGACGATTGACAAGCTCAAGGAGCTCCTTGGCCCGGAGGAATACAAGGGGAAACCGATCGATCGGTTCGAGATTCCCGGCATCAAGGCTGTGCATTTCTTGCTGCACGACCATCTGGACAGAGGTAAGACCTGATGAAGCGTAGTTGCAGGCGAAAGGGAGAGTCGCTAACAAGAAGCAGGCTACAATGGCTGCTCAACATATGACACGCTGGGCAAGAATGCGTGCGAGTACATTAGGGCGAAGACGGTAGAGATTCCCAAGAAGTTCTTGGAGCGTGGGAGAGTCTGAGTGTGCGTCATACATGTTGGCAGTTGATGTTTCAGGGTCTCGCTCGAAAACCACGCAGTGCCAAATAGGTACAACGCAGACGATTGGCGTTGGTTGCATGTGAATTGAACGTGATGTAGACGATTTGCTGAAGGCTGAAGCTGGCCGTAGGTGAAATGTAGGCGGGGGCATGGGACCAAGATTCATGCAATGCACGACACGCTGGCAGGAGGATGGCGATGATGACGGCACTTTCGATCGTATGCTGTTACGATTCAAGATGAATGAATGTTGTCACTGGTATTAGTGAACAATTGTAGATTGATGGGTGGTTTCCTTCCATGTTGAATCTCGTGACAACGATTATCGACAGAACATGTGACGCGATGTTGTTGACGCCAGTATCATATTGAAATGTGTTTCATCATAACAGGTCAAGCATGTGAATTGAATCGCTCGTTCTTGTACGTATAAACAAGGAGACTGGACTCAAGAGGCGAAGGCCAGGCCAATAAATAAGTAAATACTGACTGCGTAATTGTCAAACCAAACAATTCAGCGTCGCAGTCGTTGACGCGGGGTCTTTCCTAGTTCAGTTAGACTGTCAGTGGGGCCAACTGCAGAAGGTGACGATTTGGGGAATTTCTGGCATTCTTTGACTCGACCGTAACTTACCTGTACTGTAGTCGCGATTCGAGCTCGACTCAACAACCTCCTATTATCACGGCGAGGTCACCGTTTCGAGCCTCGATCTTCCTAAACCTTCCATGATAGTGCCCTTCCACTTCGATTCCTCAACATAAAGCTGAAAGAACGCTCGCTTCTCACGATTTCGATTGCATCAACCCCTTCGCGAAGTCACGTCTACCCACCACCGCTGACGACGACAACCACATCTGCCATACCCTGAGCGTCTCCCGAAAGAGCTCGTTCGAGAGGGAGCAGTGTCTTTAGTGCCTAATATTTGGTGGGAAACACTGGCATCGACGTAGACTTGGCGACAAAGCCCTCCGAGGGCGCAATATTTCAGGAGGACACGGCTCCTTTTACGTCCATAGCCACAGCTCAAGCGCCAGCTGATATAGAACTACTGCACCCCCAAGGCACGATGAGCGGCGAAGACACCGAATCCACGTCCAATGGCGCCGAGACTGCACCTAGCCCTGCAGAGCCAGGCCCAGCATTGCCCATCAAGCCCGAAACAGCTGGGTTCACCCCGCTGGTAACAGTCGTCGGCTTTCACCATGCACGAGGGCCCGAGGTTGAGACATGGTTTGGCGTGGAGGACGGCTTCGATCCGGCTGAAGAGTTCAAATGGTCCTTGCTGCCATTCATGGCCTTGAGCGACGGCGCGCACGCGTACGTTGGCCACATGCACCGCCACGTGCGATCCTCGACAAAGACCGCTCACTAACGCCCTGCTGATTAGATCCGAAGAGGACTTCTCGTACTTC